CATAGAAATGTATTTCTATAGCCTATATAAAGTTTGTAAATGGGTTTGCACCTGATGTGCAATTATGTGACAGGTACATCACGTTACATTTTAAATACAAACTCAACATAACAAAACATTTTATAAACAACACATTAATTACAATAGAATGTATATTAAAGTTAGAAATATTCTCAGACAAAAAAAAGTAGACAACTGATTTTCCAGAAGTGTGAAAACTCACCCAGTCTATGGTTTTTATCAGTCGGAGTGCCTTACAACCGGTATCTCCAACAATTCGTTACTACGACGGTCTCTGTTTCGTATTATATCAATTTAAAAACAGCACATTAGCAACCGCTGCTTCTGTTGGTAACGTCTTTATCGTCACGCAACGGAATCACATACAGTCATACAGACAGCTGCACAAGGTGACTGGCTGTAGGCTACAGTGAGAGCGACAGCAACACTACCACAGACAGTGTAGTTTGCTTGGCGATTCGCGCTCTCTTCTCCTCTCCAGCCGTACAACAACAGGGGGAGGAGACACGCGTTTCGCGGGACAGCAGGAGAATCGAATTAAGCACCTCCTACCAGCATAGGAACGTTTTCAGTAACGCGGGCTCAATCTTCAGTCAAAATGTCCGTTAATACATTTAACATAGTTTCTAAAAATCCATCAGCAGTGATTAGTCAGACTCAATTTCCCACTGGTTCAACCATGTTCAGTTGAATATTATTTGGGTTTGATATAGTGTATCAATGATCAACAATTAATTATTTAGATGTACTTTTTTTATTTATATAGTGTGCCTTACAGAGCCTTAGTAACCAAGCTCAGTTTATGTTCATCGTTCACAAACCCTGGCATCAAGGGCGTAGTTTTGGTTTGAACATTGGGGGGGTTGAAGTGTGAACCATTTTAGAGTCCTGGGTCATGCTCATTCATAAGGTTGATTTATTTGTTTGTTTGCTTATATACTTATTTTTGTGAAATGGTCTTTTGTGTTATTATCTATGCAAAGTTGGTGCAATAAAGTAACCTCATAGTTACTTGTTTACAAAGGATATATATATGTGTGTGTGTGTGTGTGTGTGATGTATTTTATATTATTTAGGCACACAAGCTATAGTTTGACAGAATGTTCTAATTCAACATGCCAATCTAACTTCACATTTTCTTATATTGATAGTTTATTTTTTACTCCTTAACAGTTCATCAGGCTCTTAATGATTTAATCTATGCCATATTTTGGAATATCTGAAGGCCATGTACCATAGTTCTTAACTGTAGCATTTGTTACAATAAGACTAGCTTATTAATTATTACCAGGCCAATAATGACTTTTTTTTTTAAAATTAATCAGTATAGCATTTGTTATGAAGAAACAACCGCCTGCACATTTAGAACCAATAGCTACCACATGCCACGGTTGAAATACAGTATAAATCTATAGGGAAAAATCTATTCCCTTAACAGATTATCTAATATAAATTTTACAAGTTAGACTAAATTTTACACAATAAATAAGCCTACAATAAATGTGATAAATTCTAGTAAAGGTGGTCATGAGTAGTTTAAAAGGTGTTTTATATATTAGTGCTGGTTCAAGACTGTTTTCTCCTCTTTTCATCAGTCTTTTTAGTTATTTGCCTTTTTAAGATACTGTTCGACTTTCTCTAAATAATTCAAATAGATCACACATTTGACCATCAGCTTTGCGATAGGAATGGCTCGCGCAAATATGATCACAACTTGCTAGTACTTGCTAGTTTTGGTTATTGGGGGGGGGGGGGGGGGGGGGGGGGGGGTTATATCCCCCCTATACCCCCACAAACTACTCCCCTTCCTGCCATCCATGTCCTCGGTTTTCAATCCTTTCTGAACTGCTACATAGCACCACCTTTCTAAATATAAATATGAGTTGCCACCATACACCAAAGCTTATAATGCGCATCATAAGCGTTGTCATGTGAACAACACATATTGATTTAGTCCTGAGCGGGCTAAAAGTAGTTTTTGGTTCATTTCGAATCGGTCATGAACACAATTTGTGTGAGTTATTTCAATGAGTTACCGCTTAATGCGTGTTTTTTGTTCTGGACCGGTTCATGAGAGTCATTCGGTCACCAATCGGACTACCTTGGTATATATTTTGATTCGGTTCTAAAATAAGAACAGACTCAAAATAATCATTTGTGAATCGAAGTACTGGCAGCGGTTGCATTGCTGAATAGTAGTGCAGGAAATACTAGTCCATATTAGGGAACTGTTTATGGAACAGAACATCATGAGAGTTGCAATTGCTCTTATGATTTTACTTATGCTTATTTGTGAACAGCTACTAAATATTAACGGAGAAGAATACCGTGGCGGAGGGGGAGGGAGACTTAATGTGAGGGGGAAGGGAGCTTTGACCCGTGGGAGGACTTATTTTGTCTGTTCATATGCAGTTGTTTTTCAGATCGCATTTTTTTTCATAATAACCAACATGATAAACAGAAGTAAGGTTAAAAAAAATAAAGCTATGATTTTAAAATGCACATAAAGTGAACACACCCAATACATTTCATATGTTGGCAAAACGAATAATGTATTTTAACTTGATTCACATGCAAACATGTTTTTCATTTTTTATAGCAAACAAATCTAGTGAAAATTGCGGTCACTATATATAGAGAGTAGGTTTTGGTCTCGTGAAGGTCAGCCATTTTGTTGTCATGACTTGCAGCATGTGGATTTCTCTTTTTGAAATGTCTACTAACTGCAGTACCGCTTGCCAGCTGTTGGGGAGCTCACAAAGATGAGAGAAACGTTTATGTAACCAATATAAAGCTTCACTGGATAAGGTCTATATTTGCGTAACCTACACAACTTTACCTAAATTAAACATTATTAAAGGAGTAAATTATTAAAATAGTTATATCTAGACCTAATTAACTAGTTCTCCTACTCCACCTAAAGCTCTAAACCAGGGCTGTCCAAACTCGGTCCTGGAGGGCCGGTGTCCTGCAGAGTTTAGCTCCAACCCTAATTAAACACACCTGAACCAGCTAATCAAGCGCTTACTAGGCATAGAAACTTCCAGTCAGGTGTGTTGAGGCAAGTTGAAGCTAAACTCTGCAGGACACCGGCCCTCCAGGACCGAGTTTGGACAGCCCTGCTCTAAACCGTTTCAGTGGATTCCACTGGATCAATAACATAGATTCATTCAAGTTATAAAGAGTAAAATGAGGTCTGAGAGTACACTACATTAGTAGACTTGACTACCTAACTGAGGCTTTTTCCAAATACCCACACTTGCAGTCTTGGCCACTTGAGAGCGCGTGCGCGCGACAGGAAGTAAGTGTGCAAGTCTGTCCCATGTCTTCAAAATGCCAAAGTGCAGTGCCCTTAATGGATACTAAACCCACACTATCTCGAATACCGCTCCAGAGCGCTATTCAAGGCTAAGTGTATCCCATCATGCATCATGTTCTGGAAATAAATCGTGAGACTTTTTGCCGAGATCTCGCGAGAGGTCACGGAAACCTTTCCAATGTAAGTTAAATATTAATATAATAATTAGATATTACAAATAATTTGGTAGAAAACTGTGTTTTTACTTTTATTGGTGCAAAGATTAGTTGTGGTGATATTTATTTTGTACAACATTTGCAACTGCTTTTTATCATTTAATTAGAAGCACCACAAATTAAAATTATGTCATCTTATAGGGACTACTGAACAGACATTTAGAAGTTGATTTTAAAATGCAAAGTATGTCGAATTAAAATAAAGCTGTGTAAACACTTGCATTTTTACAACACTATAAGTGTGTCCCATCAGGAAATGAAAAGTTCGACACACACTTGTGGTCTTCACATCCACTTGAAGACTTCGGCCAAATACAGGAAATACGTCATTTAAGTAATCAAGTGGTCAAGTGCAAAGACTGCAAGTGTGGGTATTTGGACAAAGCCCAACACTCACTAAAACAGGGCTGTCCAAACTCGGTCCTGGAGGGTTTAGATCCAACCCAAATTAAACACACCTGAACCAGCTAATCAAGCGCTTACTAGGCATAGAAACTTCCAGTCAGGTGTGTTGAGGCAAGTTGGAGCTAAACTCTGCAGGACACCTGCCCTCCAGGACCGAGTTTGGACAGCCCTGCTCTAAAAAGTACTTCTCTCTGATAACAGAGCAGGGAGAGCATTTGGCTCCGCCTCCTTTTCCAAGCAGCCAGAAATAACCGGAAACGACACACGGAGAGACAAAGACGACGGTATTGCTGTATCGTCTAAAACGCCACGATAAATAACGTTGTCCAAATGAAAACCAACTTAAAATCAATTACCTCAGTGCCAGAGTTAGTTAAAATGTCACCGAGCCAGGCGCGTTTTGCAAAGAACACACTCAAAGATAAATAGCCCTGGAACATGATAAATGAGGGTTTAAAGGATCTAAATAGACTGACTGCATTAATAAAACGGTTTTCATCAAGTCAAAGCCATGTTACAGCGTTTGAAATACGATGGCAGGAACGACACACATGTGACATGAGAGAATTCGGATGGACTAGTAATTAAACGCGGTGTGAACCGAATAGAGTGGACTGTTGTGTTGCTGGGACGATTCAGAATCGCGCCACTCACTGGACTCTGTGTGAATACTGACTCGGTTTAGTCTTTAGTCTTACAGCTCCCTCTACAGGCAAAATGTGGGAAATGTGTCATCTCTCCGTTTCTGTTTATACCGGGGGTGCCCAAACTCGGTCCTGGAGGGCCGGTGTCCTGCAGAGTTTAGCTCCAACTTGCCTCAACACACCTGCCTTCAAGTTTCTAGTATACCTAGTAAGAGCTTGATTAGCTGGTTCAGGTGTGTCTAATTGGGGTTGGAGCTAAACTCTGCAGGACACCGGCCCTCCAGGACCGAGTTTGGGCACCCCTGGTTTATACAATAAAACTGAAACTGAACTGTTAGAAAAGACATCTGCTAAACTGTGTTGTGTTTGGACCCGTCCCGAAAAAAAGTCAAGGCATTATGGCAAACATGTTTATTAAATTACAACATAAGTATCATAATAAATAAAACAAATACAATATAAATAATGTTTCATAATTATTGTTCAATTATTATTCCACACCAGCATTAATTAAACGTGATATGAAAAAACATGAATGACTGGTGAACTGATTTAGGTTCAGTATGTATAGAATTCCTACATCAAGTATCAATCTGTGAAGTGATATTGTGTGATGGAATATTGAATTACACATAAACACACATTTGGAAATGTTGGCACTCATGGGAAATGAAAATGTAAAAAACAATCCATAACATAAGACAGAAATCACTGTTACCATATGCAAAATGTTGAGAAAGCTTTGTCATTCTTATACTCATTCACACAAACGTGGGGTGTGTCCATACAAAATGTGCTGAAGAAAAACCTCAAAACTACAACTCTTGATTTGTTAAAGGGACTGATCATTTTTAATCAGTGTTCTTTAGCCACTGTAAATCCTGGCATGCATTTAAACTGTTGTACCTGTTTGGAATCATCTGTAGGAATATACTTCAATGGTCACTTCAGAGTCCTCTGAGACTTGCTTTGGCAGAGTTACAAAGCAAAGGTAAAAAGACATTAGTACTACAGAATCTAATGTACTTAGAGAAACACTGCTGTACCCTTATAGGGCCAAAGAGATGAAATACTTATTAAAACACTTGCATGTTAAAATTTAGTAGGCTTACTCATAACTTGAGTATGTTTAATTGGCATAGGTACTAAAAGTGTGCTAAATGTTTTAATAAATAAGGCCCATTGAGCTGCAGGCTGCAGTGGCAGTGCAATCCTCCTTCTAACAATATAAAACTGCTCAAATGTGTCTAACAGAGGTTCCAGTAGAGGACAGATGTGCCAACACTGGGCAATTTCAAATTACAAATGCTTGTGCACAAGACTATGTACCATCATATTAGACCTGAACAAGATTATCACGAGCAAACTCACTCATTTAAGTCAGCAGAGCCAGCAACTGGGGAAGGCTTTTTCTAATTTTCAAAGGTTGTGCGACAAGAGATGATGACAAGTTCCACAAAGGGTTAAAAGGAGCATAAGGACAAAACCTCCACAGCGATGAAATCATCTGAGCATGCACAGCTGAATTACTACAAGATGATTCCTAGTCTTCTCTCGCAGCTTTCCTCACAGGTTGCTTTCTTGTGTGTCTTGGCCAGAGGAGATGGGATGCAGACCTCCGTTATCGTTGAGCCTCTTGGCACGGTACGTCTCGTAGTGGATGTTATGAGTGACCTCCTTCAGGTCCTGGAGGTGAGACCTGAGTATACGATAACATTATTATTTGTGTCGAGTCACTGGTCGTTTTTGGAAATATTTCATAAAGCCTGCAAATTCTATTATATAAAATACATTTTATTATTAAGACAGCAATAAACAATGAAACATATGTGAATAAATATTAACAAATGAGTGAATAAATACATTTATACAGACTACTGTTCAAATCTTTAGGGACAGTATGATTTCTAAATGTTTTTGAATGAAGTCTCTCATGCTCGTCAAATGTGTATTCATTTGTTCAAAAATACAGTAAAAACAGTAATATTGTGGAATATTATTACAACTGATTTTTTAAAATACATTTTTAAATGTAATTTATTCCTGTGATGACAAAGCTGAAATTTCAGCATCATTACTCCAGTCTTACGTGTCACATGATCCTTCAGAAATCATTCTAATATGCTGATTTGCTGCTCAAGAAACATTTCTTATTATTATCAATGTTGAAAACAGTTGTACTGCTTAATATTGTTTGTTGAAAACATGTTTTCAGGATGAACAGAAAGAACAGCATTGATTTGAAATAGAAATCTTTTATAACATAATGTTTACTGTCATTTTCCTCGCGGAGTACTCCTTCAAAAAGGACTCAAAAAAATAATAAATAATAAAATAAAAAATAAAATTACGATTAGTATATCAAATAAAGTTTTATACATTACCTAATCATGAAATCACGAAGTAAGGAGAATTCGCAGTGATTTGGGTTTTCAACTAGAGGGATAAAAAAACATGTTTTGTCAGAAAATATGTATCAACACAATATACTGTACACAAATACAAATACATTCTTTCTACTTAATGCTTCAAAAAGTTACCCTGAAACATGGTTATTAGGAAATTGACATTTTTGACAAGTTAAATTGTAATAGCTGCCCTAAGTATATACTAAATGTTTACTGTCATTTTCCTCGCGGAGTACTCCTTCAAAAAGGACTCAAAAAAATCTTTCTGACACCAAACAGTAGAGAATGTAATAAAATTACGATTAGTATATCAAATAAAGTTTTATACATTACCTAATCATGAAATCACGAAGTAAGGAGAATTCGCAGTGATTTGGGTTTTCAACTAGAGGGATAAAAAAACATGTTTTGTCAGAAAATATGTATCAACACAATATACTGTACACAAATACAAATACATTCTTTCTACTTAATGCTTCAAAAAGTTACCCTGAAACATGGTTATTAGGAAATTGACATTTTTGACAAGTTAAATTGTAATAGCTGCCCTAAGTATATACTAACACAGTGGAAAACATGTTTGTTTTTGTAACATTTGTGACTAATAGCACCTGAGAAAACTGGAGAACGTGTCATTAGATTGAAAAAGTGATTAAAATGCCTTATGTTCACATATTTGTATTACTTTGTGCAAACATACATATAAACCTGACACATAATCCCCTTGGAAGCAATTTCAGTCCATGTTTTAAATGCAACACATAAGATGATTTTCTGCAGGGACAGAAAATGCACCCAATATAGAAAATGACCCTAATATTATAGGTTTGTTAGCCAGCTGCAGAAAGTTCTCATTAATTACTCCAGGATTTGACCAGTCCTGCCTAAGAAATCACTACAGCATCTACTTTGTTATTATAATAATAGAACCACCTAAAAAATATAACTATATTAATCACAATTGGTACAGTGAAACAAACAGAATAAAAACATTTATTTCAGAAATCTGCATAAAAACAAGTGAAATGACAAACACTTCTGCCCACTCACCCTCCACCACTCCCCAGGCTGTCTTCCTACCCAAAACTCGTTTGCCATTGACCTGGTACTCTTTATCACTTCCTACCACTGCAAAGGGCATCGCCTCCTGTAATGCACAGATTTAATGGAGCAAACACACAGGCTAACAGATGAGAGATGAAAGATAAGAGATGTTGAAAAAAAAGAGCAGCATGCAAGATGTGCAAAGTTCCCCTTACCCTGATCTTGTCATTATCACTCTTATCCTCCATGTCTTCATCAAACTCCTTCTGTGGGTAACACTCAATCCCACATGCTTCCAGCTCCTTCCTCACCTGCAAGGGAATATGGTGAACAGTAGTTATTCGGTGCCAGAAAACTAACTTGATATTGAATCACCATGTGAATCTGTATTCGCACCCTCTGTTTAAATTCAGTTTTCTCATCAAGAGTGAGTGTGTCCGACTTGGCTATTACAGGAATGATGTTGACCACACGACTCAGATGTTTCATGAACTCAATATCCAACTGGCGAAGCCTGAGAAAGGGGAAAGAGATATAATTAATAGAGCGATAGAAGCAGATTTGATTACGGGGCCACTGGCCTTTCTGAGGTTCACAGTTTGCCTAATGCAGCTCAGTCAAGCATTGCTGGCTGAATGAACACGGTCTTAAATCAACACAGCCGCTTGAATACACTACACGACTTTTGCCCAGATTTGCATTCTGGACAAGTTGATGACAGTTGTCGAAAGTCAGAGCCAGTCTGCAAATTTGAGATGAGAGATTCCACAGAAAATCATATAGCGCATGATGATCACAGACTTACATTTTTAACTACAGACTATGATTCGGTGCAGTCCAAAGATATCAAACATGTTTGATATTTTGAGCCAATTTTTGAACACATTGTTTTCATTTGTTTAGTGTCTGTGTGTTCAGAATGACACGAAAGTCTTGTAGTGTATGATCTTCAGATGCCCAGTTTTTCTTCTGTAACCATTTACAATGTCGACAAGTTGTTTTTAATTAACAAAGCTGCAACTACAAGCATTTTTCAACTACTGACAAATAATAAAAAGAAATCTCAAAGATGTGAATACACAGAAATCCATTATCTTATTGCTGTTCTCAATAGAGAACATGGGATATGAGTTAAAGTAAAATATTAATATATAATTCAAACTCACGAGTGTCCAGTTGGAGATATGAAGTACAAGCAGCAGTGCACTCTGGTATCGGGGATGCGTTTCTTGCGAGCAATGTTGACCTCTTCCTTCAAAAATTTCTCATATTGTTCATTGATGTATTTGGATATGGGCTCCCAGCTAGGAACACATAGGGGAAAAAAGCAACAGTGTTGCGTGTTGTAAGCTATGTTAGAGTACATAACTTTGAAACAGCAAATGAAAAACCACTGACGCTATTTTTTCATGTTTAATACCATAAAGCTGCTTGCTTTAAAGCAGTCTATTGTATAAAGTTCTACATAAATAAACATGACGTCACGTGATGTGACTGGAGTGCCGAATTGCAGAGCTTTTGCAAACATATCCACATCACTATGATCTAAATGCCTCTCTCTATTAACAAACAGTATACCACTGCTCACGTATTTCAAACTTTTTTTTACCCCAAGCAACAAATTAAGAAGAAATGTAGGTTTTAAGCTATAGTTCTGTATGAATAAAAAGCTGCATAAAAGGCAGTTGTTGTTGTTTTTTTGTTGTTAGCATCAGCACCCAACAGCCAGTGCAGCACTATGTTGTCTGAGGCATTTGAATGACAAAGGAAAAACGCTGTGTCCCTTTAACTGAGATCCTTGGATGTGATCACTGAGGGCAAGCTGCCAAACCACACTTACATTTGGCATCCCTACCAGCAATCTGATCCTTGTCTGTGCAAATTAAGTGCAAATCTGGAAGTCAAAACACTGCCCCTTACACTTGGAACACGTTTTTGATGCCAGTTAGTAGCAGCAGAAATGAAGCACACAACTGACCCCATTTATTTCAGCTGACACAAATGCATGTCCTCAGTTTCCTAGATGCAGTGATGCAGGATGCAGTGGCATTTTGGATCATTTGCAAAAACTAAATCGGTTAAAAATAGCTGCCAGTCCTCTAGCTTTAACAGAGAAATCACACAAAACTCACCAATTTTCATTGTTGATTTGGTCCCCAAAACCTGGTGTGTCAACGACTGTTAACTTCATCTTCACCCCTCCTTCCTCAATCACTGCAAAATCAACATTTATCACAGCTACAAATAAAGCATTTTGGATAACTGTGATTGTTTTTGTGACAGGATACAGTGGTTCAATCTCATAAGATAACGCCATTTTTGTCTATATAATGAACAGGGTCCAGTGTTGTGTGGACACCACTGACTTCCATTATATGGACAAAAACAGTAAAACATTCTTAAAGGGACAGTCCACTGAAAAACGAAAATTCTGTCATCATTTACGCTCATGTCCTTCCAAACCATAAGATTTTGGTTAATCTTCTAACTCAATTGAAATAGGGCTGCAAAACGATTAATCGCGTTTAATCGCATTCAAAATAATTTTGTAAAATTATGTTTACATACTAAATGTGTGTGTACTGTGTATATTTATTATGTATATATAAAACACACATACATGTATATATTTTAAGGAAAAATATGTTATATTTATATATAAAACATTTATATATAATATAAATTATATACAAGTATAAATATATATATATATACATAGTACAACAAATATTTTTTTTTAATATGACAGTGTGTGTGTATTTATATATACATAATAAATATACACAGTACACACACATATAGTACGTAAACATTAACTTTTATTTTAAATGCGAATGATCACGATTAATCGTTTTGCAGCCCTAAAATTAAGATATTTCTAAAGAAACCTAAACGGTTTCTGTCCATCAATGGAAAGTCCAAGTAACACAAAATTTAGAAGATCCAAAAAGGTCATAAAAGCATTGTAAAATGAATCCATATGAATCAAGCAGTTTAATCCAAGTCTTGGATCTTTTAAATTTGGTGACCTGGATTTTCAAAGGAATTATGATATAAATATCTTAAGTTGTATTTTGACGTTTAACCAAAGTCTTATGGGTTTCACAACATAAGGTTAAGTGAATAATGGCAGAATTTTAATTTTGGGGTGAACGGTCACTTTGAAAAAGACAGAAAGTTATGCAGGTTTGGAATGACATGAAGGGGAGTAAATGATGACAATGTTGTCATTTTCGGGTTAACTATTCCTTTAAGTCAGATGATTTAAAATATTTTCCACCCAACACCTATTTTCCACCTACAGTACATTTGAAACACCATCAGAACAATATCACACAAGGTCAACAAGAAATAAATATCCAGCCTTTTTCTGAACAGCAATTGGATATATATACTGTATATATATATATGATATCATTTAGTTTGCCAGCTGTTCACTTACCTATAGGGGATTCACCAACAGCTGGCCTCCTAACTTGCCCTGGGCACAAAACATGCCAATCTAGACATATCTTACTCACAAGCACATATGGCCACCACTGTGCTACAGGCCCTAGTGTGCATTGATTACATCAGCCGACACTAAATGGGTCTTTCTTAATTAGCTCATGATGTCTATTTCCGTCCAGTGAAAGGTCTGTCCTTTAGCAACCAGTGCTAAAGAGCTTTCATTTGAACAAGCAATGGATCCAGTTGTGAATTCTTGACTAAATGAGACAGTTAAATGTTTAGAAATCACACGATCAGTATGCTCTTACCATGAGATGCAGATTTAATCTCAACAGTCTTTGGGATCTTCTCATCACGACTCCAGCTTGTGCTCCTCCTGCTCACCTGTGACTTAAAGAGTGTATTCACTAAAGTAGACTTCCCAAGACCACTCTGACCTGGAGTTAGAGAGAGAGAGAGAGAGAAAAAGAGGGGGTAAGAAAGTGAAAAAAGTAAAAAGTAAATGTGAACAAACTGCTCTCCCACCCACCAACCACCATGATGTTGAAGTCAAAGCCTGTCTTCATGGTCTTCTTCCGCATCTGCTCGATGATGGTGTCTATTCCAATGTATCCAAGCAATGCAGATCCTCGACCTGACCCTTGACCTTCACCCCCTGTTCCTTGGGGTGAAGGCACAAAGGGACCACTAGAAGACGGGGCCACGTGAGAGGGCTTAGCTGGGACGGCAGGTTTGGGTCTCACTTCAGGGGGCACAATTTCTGACATGTCTGTGTGAAAGAGTAAATGATAAACAATCAATACATTTAATCAGGCTAGATGTTATTTCACTATGAATGCCACCCTTAGTAAACTAGATTTAAATATAGAAAACAATATTTTGTGTTGTGATCATATATTGAAGTTGCTACAAGGGATAATTATTTTTATTATTTATTTAATTTTAAGTTAGTATATAACTACCTTCAATTATTATAAATAGTCAACTTTTTAAATGAAAACAATATAAAGAACAATACGACTTAAAATAGTTTATATTGATATTAGTTATGATACAAATTTACATTCAAATAGTTAATGTATAACATGCAGCAAAATACAACTTATAATATTAAAATATGAATATTAGTTATGACAATATCATTTTAAATGTAAGTTCTATAGGCCTACAACTTCATTAAAATATTATGAATATGAAGCTTTTGCAAATAATGTTTTGTTTATATTAATATTTATTATATTTTAATTCGAAATGTAATTTCCTTACCTAATGTAGGTCACACTTTATTTGCACATGCGTATCAGCATATCTGATACGTATTCTGTTATATTTAAATCATGTAGGGATAGTTCACCCAAAAATGAAAATTCTGTCATCATTTACTCACCCTCAATAGCTCCAAACCTGTATGAATTTCATACAGCTGTTGAACAAAGGGGATATATTCTGAAGAACTGGTATCCAAACAGTTAGTACGGAAACATAGTACGGGAAAAAAATACCATACAAGTCAATGGTTCCCATCAACTTGTGAGTTTACCAACATTCTTCAGAATATCTTCTTTTGTGTTCAGCACAAGAAAGAAACTTAAACAGGTTTGGAAGCGGATGGTGAGTACGTGATGACAGCATTTTCATTTTTAGGTGAACTACCTTTATTTCACATTTCTTTTTTGCCAAGACAAGGACAACATAAGTGAAAAGTGTCACAGCTTACCCCTCTAACCTACTCTGTTTTGCATGTACAATATGTAGGTGTTTAGAAACAACACGATTAACTGAGGAAAACTACAAATATTAGACATGACTGAATCATTTGTCTTATAAAAACCTATGTATGCTATTGTGTTCTAGTGGTCCTATTTCCAAGCCTAGTCCACTTTAAATGCTCCACTGGGTTGTCGGCCTATATTAACACCATATGCCACCCAAAATAAGCAACAAACAATAAATTATTACAGAAGCCACTCAACAAATCTCTTTATCGGATTAATCACCCACGGCTGGACCTTTCCCACACACCAAGACGCCTTTTAAACGCCATAACATGAGATGGTTCCTACACAAGAGACCATGATCTGCGTCTATCATTTAGAGAATAATGTTAGTATTATTGCCATTTTAAAGGCTGGAAACCAAACATAAAAATACAAGGATCAATGTAAGCGTCTACCTCCCCATTTGTTCCATTTATTGGGCTTTTTTTTTTACCTCAAAAAGATTCGTATAATGACAGATAATTAGAGGGAAACACTCTTCCACTCACCGATCCGTGTTTTTGCAGCGGTCGCAGGAGAAATGATATTTTTCGTCCTTTCTCTGCCTCTCGCTGTTTTACAGTCTATTGAAGTATAAGTAGGCTAGGTCAGTAGTTGAACAGCCGTTAGGGATTGATCATGTGTTCAGGTGCCTCTTTCTTTCCCTCCGTCTCTCGCCTTTCTATTCGCAGCTCGATGCACCTCATTCCTTTCTCCACCCTTTTCTCGTTACCAAGGAAACTAACGGGAGACTGGGTGATGCAGCGCGCATGCGCAGTGCTGAAATTAGAGATTCGGGTCGCTAGGGGATTTTTGGCACTCTGCTAGGCTATTTCAATCTTAGCCGTTTGCCTATGTTTGTTTTGGTAGGCTACATTTGTACAGATAGTTATATTAAACTTTGCTATGCGTGTTTTATCATGCTATTACTGTGGCTTATGATTAGTTACAGGACTATGTGGATCACAATGACTCTCGTTAATGAAAACGTTAGTTTTTTTTCTCTGTTCCAAAATATATACTGATCAAAGTAATATATCATTTCTTAAATACTTAATTCTTATGGAGCAAAATAATTTAAAAAGAAACAATAACTATCAACTGACAATGATCCCGTTCTGCTGACGTCATCAAGTCCTTTTATTTTCCAACCACCTTGTTCCATTTGACCTTGTTCCATTAGACCTTGTTCCATTTGACCTTGTTCCATTTGACCTTGTTCCATTTGACCTGTTCCATTTGACCTGTTCCATTTGATCCTCATTGAATATCCTGAAATATTTTGCTAATAACTTAAATGCACAATACCACAGAACAGTACAAAACAAAAGATTAATTTCGCACAGTGCATTTTATGTCATCAAAACTACTCACATTTCATGGCCTTGTAGTCCCGCGCCTGCCTGTCTCATGCGCTCTGTTCACATGTGAAGTGTTTGTGGTGGCATATATAGTGGGCACTAAAGTGCCGTTGAGCCTCAGTGTCTTTTACCTCATAACCGGGTTATCTCACTGTGTTTAGACAGGCCTGTGCTTGATAAGGCAGAGTCCCTATTTTGCACACTATACCATTTCCAGTTTGTCCTATGTCTCTATATATCCTGGCTTATATTCAGAAAACACTCGCATATTAGAATTTCTAGGGTTCATATTTGTAGATACATATCGAGTATTTTGAAACACTGACATACCACAACCTTTTTGACTTAACCTTATTTTTGTATGGATATATATAACATTTTCCCTTTTAGACATCAACATCACAGCCTAACCACCAGTGTTTTCTTCTTCTTCACATGATCTAAAGAGCAGGTTGTCATCACTTTTACCTTGCAATTTCAGTATAATTAGAGACAATTAGAGATTATTACAGTTGATCATTAAGGTTCATATTAGAGTTAAGCAAGTAGCAGATTCCATTCAAGAGTTCCAATGAAAACGAAAGTGGTGCTCACTTGTGCCAGGTCAATGCGACTCAGTTGCTAAGCTGTTTTGAGTGATTTTAGCTTGCTATGCGATTGTTAAGGTGTTCTGAGAGATTTTTAGCACTATGCTATGCACCTGATAAAGTGTTTTGAGTGATCTTGCTATGAAGTTGCTAAAGTTTTTCCAAGTTATTTTTTAGCACATTGCTATTCATCTTTTGGGGTGCTCTGAGTGATTTTTAGCTCATTGCTATGTAGTTGCTAAAGAGGTCTGAGTGATTTTTAGCAAATTTTATATAGTCGCTAAAGTGTTCTGCGTGAAAAGTTGGGTTATTTTTAGCACATTGCTGTGTGGTTATAAGGTGTTCTAAGTGATTTGTACCACATTGCTATGTAGTTGCCAAAGTGTCTGGTGTGATTTTTTAACACATTGTTATTCAGTTCCTATACGGTGATTTTTAGCACGTTGCTATGCAGTTTCTATGGTGTTCTGAGTGATTTTAGCATGTTATGTGATTACTAAGATGTTTTGATTAATTTATGATTAATTTTAACAGGTTAAGTGGTCGCTAAGGTGTTCTGAGTGATTTTAGCTCATTGCGTTGCTTAAGAGGTCCGAGTGATTTTTAACAAATTTTATGTAGTTACTAAAGTGTTTTGAGTGATGTTTAGTTCATTGCTATGCACATGCTAATATGTTCATAGTGTTTAAGCACATTGCTATGTAGTTGCTTAAGTGATTTTTAGCATGTAGCTAACAAGTGCTTCTACCACATTGCTGTGTACTTATTCTGAGTGACATTTATCATGTTACTAAAGTGTTTGCTGTCATTTTTAAGTTCCTAAGGTGATTTTTAGCACGTTGCTCTGTGCTTTCTAAAGATGTTCTGCATGATTTTTAGCAGTTTCTAAAGTGTTCTGAGTGGTTTTAGAATGTTGTTATGTGGTTACAATGATGTTATAATTCATTTTAGCATGTTAAGTGGTTGCTAGTGTTCCGAGTGATTTTAGCGCATTGCTTGTGGTTGCTTACTTTCTTGAAACCACATGATTTGAGGTATCAAATTGAAATGTCATATTGTGCACCTAAGTAAAATATTTATTAGGCTTAAGGACTGTTTTAAATCACTAACCCTAAATATAAAACTGTGATTCTCACTCAAACATTCACCACTAATGACAAATTAAAGTCTTCCTCCCTGAATGCTTAGTCTGTTTATATACTAAATTTAAATAATGCCCCTATGTATATACAGTACATACTATTTATGACGTCTCATGTCTTTAAGCAGCTTTATATACAGTCCTTTTAATGTAATTCCAGTCATTTATCTTTGCACCCACCTTTAGACAGACATTCTTCAGGACACGAGTCAACTCTGCTCCTCGTGTCTGCGACTACAGATGGCTGTAATGGTAGGGGGTCTTCTCGCTCTGTTAACCGCGAGGAGTTCATGTCTTGAAATCTGTCACAATCTGTAGAATGAAGTGTGTGTTTGGAATCTTGTTGTTGATCTAGAGTGAACGGACACTGTGGCATCCATCCAGCCAAGGGATATTTCAGCATTTCAGAGTCTGTGTGTGTGTTTGGGCTGTCCAAGAGGTCCGGGTGAACAGCTGATTCACGTTTCTCTCCAACAAATTTAGTTGGACAACTAGTAGCACACTTTTTGTATAAGTGCGAGCCTCTGTGTCTTCTTGCAAATCTGTAATCGTCACGCAAGTTTGCGTCGCTTGAAGAGGATTTAGAAGAATCTGAATCCGAAAGGCTGCATCTATTTCGGGATGAATTGCTGACATCCCTTCTTGTGTTCCCCGTTTGGTTTGAGGAAGATCTTCTCCATGCCTGAGGAGTTTTGAAGTATGTAGGTCTACTGTCAGATGTTCTTTTGATCACAGGTCTACGGATTCGGCTCAGCTGACCGCATTCAGTGGATGATCTGTGACTCTTCAAAGGGAACTGGAAGCAGCTCATCCGGCTGCACTGATGACTACGTAATGACATACACTACTACCGCGACAGACAGAGCCTTCCTGCAGACTGAGGCCTGATCTTTGATTTAGACTCTTGGTTGTCATTAGCACTGGTTTGATTATGTTGGGAGGAGTTCCTCATATTACTGTCATGAGAACTATCATTGGGGGCGTTACAGTTCTCTGAAGCTCTGTCTTGAAGCTCTGAGTTGGATGAAACCAGTTCACTGTATTCCTTTAGAGAACGTACATTATCCAGTTCTTGAAAAATATCCTTTTGGTTTGTGGTAGCCTTAGGTGATGAGATTGGATTTATAAGTGCCGACTGTCTGGAGAACTGTCTTGTTCCTTCAACTGAAGCTTGTGCTTGGTTTTGAGGTTTCCCACAGCTCCTCTCACACATCATAGTGGGCCTTATTATCCGCTTGGCTGCTCCTAACATTATCTTTGAACGAATAGGCTGTTTTAACTTTTCTGAAACAGCAGGATGTCCATCGCTCCGAATATTTGGAATGTTCTCTTCATTGCTTCCCTTGATCTTCTCCAGATCGGAAAACTGGGCACCAGAGTTTATAATCCTGTCTGTTTTCATCAATCCAAGCCGGATTCGAAATAGATTAGGGTCTTGAGATTGGCGCTTCTTTTGATAGCTAGCTAAATTTTGTGGTCTATATACACTTTTTTCAACATGTCTGAGGCTTTTAGGGCTTAAGCTTTCAAATGTTGAAGGCTTGGTAGCACCCCTGCAATAGATGTTTGAATTTTGCTTTAGTTTATCCTGCTGTGGAGGTCTGAATGGATCTTGTTGTTGGCCAGTTTGCTTTTTTTGACCCCTCGTGTTGGTTATGGGGATTGATCTTACGCTTCTCTCAGTGGATGAAACAGGCGTGAATCTAGACATTTTGCTTTCTACTGGCCATGTTTTACCATGCATATCTGCTGAATGTAATGGTTTGTTTTCATCTGTTGGTAGCACTTTACTTGGTGTCTCTAATTGAGAAATGGTATTAACTGACTTCAGATGTGGTGAATTTAGGGATGTATCCACTGTATTGATGATGCTGTAGAACACAGAACAATCAAAATGGATAAGCATGATGGGTGATGAATATATGTTTTCAATAGCCAACATTTTCAACAATGTCAAATATCACAAAATTAAAGAAATTAGCAATTATGCAATATTTGGAAATGACACATG